TTTTCATGTTGCCTTATTGTTTTGGCTTTAATTTCTAAGACATTTTAAATAAATATATCATTTTTTCATTATTTTACATGTCAAAGTGGGTTGTCTCCCCTTATGCATTTTATATTTTTATGTCTAATTTCGAACAATGAAAAAACAATAAAACACGAACTCGTTTCATTTTATCTTGATCCTGAGTATTTAGAGACAAAGATGGATAAGCTTGTAATGCGAACTCTTTTAAAAAATGCAACAAAAGGTGGGACAATATAAAACTCAAACCGTCCATATCTGTACCCACCCCTGGTTATGGAGTTGCGTAATCATATATTCCAGATATATCGCACATCTCGAGATAATGGGACCATTTCTATACTTTTTATGGGCTGATAATTTTTTTTGCAAAAAAATCTAATTTTTTTGTAGTGTTTATATACTAAGATTCATAAAATAAATGTAGACTCAATGACTACATAAAAAATTGTTTATATGAAATAATTGTTTTGAAATTTGATATCTCAGTTACTAAAATCCATATATGTTTTTCGGGGAAGGTTTCCATGACATTGTCCGGCAATGTCATGGGATGACCCGAGGGTGCTCCGATCTCTCGTTCGTAAAATTGACGGTTCATAACCCTCTTAACCTTCTCGGTAAACCCCCTACCCTGCCGTGACGCGAACACACATCCTTCAATTGCACCCCACAAGTTGATTTTGACTTTGGAGTCAAAATTTGACTCCAAAGTTAAAATCAACTTGTAGGGTGCAATTGAAGGGGGTAGGGGGTGTGTTCGGGTCGGGGCGGGGTGGGGCTTACCGGTGCCGCCCAATCGTTTAAGATGGCTCTGTGCAACTCAATAATTCAAGTCTCTAGGATATTAAAAAAGGAGTGGTTCAAAGTCATAAAATAATCGTTTAGATTTTAACTTGAAAAAGAACAAAGTACATATTACAACACTTTTCTTACACTTCAAATTATACAAACTACTAGAAAGATTTTTATGAAGGGCTCCTTTTTGAGATTCTATTAAATTTTCAGTCCTTTCATATTAGAATTAAATTTAGGAAGAAACAATAAAACCTGGATGAAAAGAGTAATTCCTAATCTTGATATCTTTGATGAATGATGAGCTATAGCCTTCAACCACTTTCCCTAATTCTAAAAAAAAATCCATGAAAGGTAGAATTGAACTACTGGTCTTGCAAAATTAAAGAAATACAAATTTACACTACTCAAGAAACAATTAAACAAAAAATGATTCATTTAAGATTTTAATATGCAAAATAAATTATAAATTTCTAACACTAAAATAATTTTCAAACAAATCTAAATCACCTAAATTAAGACATGCGTGCAGAACAATACCAACAAAATTGAGATTGCCATTTTCGATTGAAAGGATGAAAGAAATACACGGTCAGTTTGAAAAAAACTGAAACATAAAAATTAAGAACTCACCAAAAAAGAAGAAATTGAGGACTTAGGCCCCGTTCCGTTCAACTTATTTTTTTTGCTTTTTTCTTAATCTTATTAAAATCAGATCAGATCTAATCAAATCAGATCAGATCAGATCAGAACCAATCAGATCAGATCAGATCAGATCCAATCAGATCAGATCAGATCAGAACCAATCAGATCAGATCAGATCCAATCAGATCAGATTAGATCCAATCAGACCAGATCAGATCCAAATAAGAATTATTATTATTATTATTATTATTATTATTATTACTACTACTACTACTACTACTATTATCATTATCAATATCTTTATTACTCCTTACTTTTTAAATTCCATATTTTTTAGTTGTTTCACTTGATACGGTTCTTTTAAAAAATAAATTTAATTCTATTTAAAAAATATAAGAAGAAAGAACATGAAACTTTTTGTGTGATTATAATTTATGTAGACTAAAATAAATGATATGAAGCACAATTGTTTTCTTAAAAATGAAAAATAATAAACATTAGAAACAACATTGATTATCTATATTAAATAAAATTTTAGTGCATATATAAATTAAATAATTATTCTAATGTTTATATAAAGTAATTATTAAAATATTAAATAAATATTATTCATTAAAAAAATTATAAAATAAAAAATATTATTACATTATAATATGAATGATTATTCTAATATATGAGTTAATTAATTTTGTTTCATTAAAAAATAATCATAAAAAATATTGATTATATTATAATATGAATTATCATTACAATTTTTAATCAAATCAGAACCAATCAGAGCAGATCAGATCAGATCAGATTCAATCAGAACCAATCAGATCAAATCAGATCAGATGAGATCCAATCAAATCAGATCAGATGAGATCTAATCAGATCAGATCAGATCTAATCAGATCAGATCAGATCAGATCAGATTAGATCAGATCCAATCAGATCAGAAAAAATAAGTTGAACAGAACGGAGCCTTAATCGACAAAGAAAGACCGCGTATTTACCGTATTAAAGGGTGATTTAGCAAATACAAAGTATTAGGTAATAAAGGTACTGGGCTTGTAACTTATAATCATAATTGGGCTAGAATTATAAAAAAATATGGGCCTCTATATTTTTTAGAGGCCCTGTTCTATTGCACCTATTGAACCTGCTAATGGGCGAGCCTGCCGAGAGAGTTAGGGGGTAGGAACCGTCAGTTTTACGAACGGGACACTGGAGCACCCCCGGGTCATCCCATGATATTGGGTTCCAATATCACTTTTTATGTCGGTGGGCATTGCGCACTTGACAAGGTAAGGGGTGTTAAGGAGGTAAGACTCAAGTTCGATTCCTGACAACTGCACTGAGAGATAACTATGTTAAGCATAGAGCCTCTGCAAAATACTAGGTGCAGGTTCCACTCTTTGTCAACAGTCTGCAATTAAAATTCAATTTACCTCCTCTGAGTGACTGTCCGACCGGGTTTGAGGAGGCCTCTCGGGGATGTGGCTGCAAATTTTATTTTATCAAATTATTAATAAAAATATATAAATAAAAAAGCATTATTGAGAGGTTGAACAAGAAAATGTAGTACCTCTGTCCCTGAGTATTTATCCAATTTTAACTTTTTTCGGTCAACTATTTTCAACATTTGACCTATAACTAAATGAAATATATATTGTATATTAATTGGATAAAATAATATTTTGAAAATATTTGATATAATAAATCTAATAAAACTATTTTAGTATTAATATTTAATATCATTTCTATTTATTTTAAAGTCAAAGTTTACCAATTTTGACCAAAAAAGTAAAAAACGAACAAATACTCAGGGATGGAGGGAGTAATATATTACGGGATGGAAAGAGTACTCAAACCGTGTTTTATAGAGAACAACATTTATTCTTGCTACGTGCAAGACTTTTAAGGCAATGCTTTAATTTTTATTGGCATTGTTCGGAGTCAAATCCAGACATCATCTAATTTTGAATTCTATATTCTAAGTCTAGTGAACAAAATGAGTTTGTGGTTCTAATTAAACTACTTAACCTATTTCATGTTTATTTGATATGAAAATGTTAATTTCTAAACTATTCCAACTTCTTTCATTGTGTTTTAACATCTTCTAGTTCTTTCAACTCCTAATTTCTGACAATAACGATTTAAAAAAAGTGTTTATATATAATGCATGCACAATAACAATTTTTTATCCAATTTTATAACACATCATCTCAACCATGAATAATGATGTTTTTTTTTATCCTAGTTTTTTTACATATTTATTTCCGGATTATTTAATTGAACAACTTTTTAACATTTAAATGTTTCCAACAATCTTTAACTTCTTCCATTTTTTCCCTACTTATTTCAAATTCTTCCAACATCAAAAACTGAAATTCTAAATTTATTTTTTTAATTTTTGACATCTAGAAGATTAAGAAAAAATTTGAAAAATGAAAACTAAGCGGTTAAAAGAATTTTTTTCGAAGAGAATCATTTGGAACACATTCTTTAAAATTACGTATAACTAACACTAAAACACACTTCATATATCAAAATAAGACTTTCCAAGTTTTTATTCCAAAATATAGCTTATTATGTCAAAGAATGGCAATATATAATGTCAAAGATATTGTAGAATACAATGCCAAATAATTATGACATTACACATTATCAATACTCCAATTCAAGGAATAAAAATACAAAAGATCTTATTTTAAATTAGTATAAGTTTTATATTGGAGTAGCTGAGTCCTGGCCAAATAAAATTTTTAAATCTTTAGAATGAATAATTTAAAGAAAATTATTTTGAAATAAATTTAAAAAGAAAATGTAAAATTTTTTTGAGAAGAGGGAGCATATTATTCTGAGTATAGTAGTGTAATAAAGGTAATTTTTATTTATGAATTTGCTATTAACTTTATAATTATAATATATGTAATATCTGTTCATACATTTCTCAACCCGTTGTAAGAAAGTAAATTCAAAGATACCCTAGGAGATGGAGTGCTTCTTCTTTTCCACTTTCCTTTTTTTATAAGTCTAATTTTAAATTATTCATCTATAGTCTTTTCGTCTTAAAATAAAACCTACTCCGTACTTTAGTTGCAAATCAACTCATACACTAGACTTTTGGATAAAAGAGTAAAAAGTGGGAGCTGATATTGGCGCTCCAAATTCCCTATCTGCGCTCCATCTTTGATTAAAGTGACCATATTATCCTTTTACTCATTTAAGTGTTTATTGCATTAGAAAATTAGAAATCTAATTAGAATTAGACTTTGATGAAACACAGGTAGAATTTAAATTTTGTAAAATTAGAAATATTCTAATAGTCATGATATTATATTTCATGAATTTTAGAATTAATATTATTTCATTAAATTAGAAATTTTATTATTTGGGAAAACTATAATCCGTATCATGTAAATATTCTTTCATGAAATAATAATTATTATGATCATGAAAAATATCTTGTTATTATTATATTTTTACAAATATATTATTTCTAGTTTTTTGAATGCTTACATTTATAAAAAAATTAAACTAAGAGTAAAACATATACTTAGAAATTACGGAGTACCAAAATAGGAATTACATATTTTTTTCAAAAGTTGGAGCTACAATAGCAATAATGTCAATATATAAAGCCACAAACATTTTGAAATGCCAATATACAGTACGGGTCATATTGTCACAGTACAAACATTTATTTTCGAAATAAAAACATGTGACTCCTATTTCAAAAAGGAATGATGTTCCCGGTTTGACTTTTCCTCATTTTAAGAGTGGTTGACTATGGGGAGAAATGGTCCAAAATGCCCTTCACTATGAACACCCCAATTTCCGCTAGCCACCGTCGTCTGCATCTCTGACCACCCTACCTTCTTTACCAATTCCCTGTCGCCACCACAACCTTCGGTCCGTCGCTCGCCGCCATCTCCCACCACAACGGCCAACCCCACCTCCTCCACCGACACCTACAGTGCCGTCAGCTTCCACCACAACCTCCTGTCCCTCCATCGCCGCCATCGCCCTCCATCGCAGATTTGGAAGAAAGAAAAGATTTGTGAGGAAGGGAAGAAGAAGAGTAAGAGGCGGAGGGTAATTTGTCACAGATCTGTTACAGATCTGTGTAGATCGGTGTGGATGATGATGAGAAGAAGATGAAGAGGCGGAGGATCTAGAAGAAGAGGAAGAGGCGGAGGACGATGAGAAGACGAAGAAGGGGATTGGACCTGTGTGGATCAGAAAAAGAGTAGGGGAAGAAGAAGAAAAAGAGTACGGGAAGAAGAAGAAGAAGAAGAAGAAGAAGAAGAAGAAGAAAAGAAGATAAAGAAAAAGAAGATGGAGATTCGAGACAGAGAGAAGAAGAAGAGTGAAAAATGAGGAGAAAGAGGGCAAAAAGAAAAAGATAAGGAGAACCGGAGAAGGGAAAAAAAGAGAAAGAAAGAAAGGAGGAAGAGGGTAGTTTTGGAAGAATGACAAAAAATAAGTAGAATGGGAACATCATTCCGGACAAAAAAAAACGTAGAATGGGAACATCATTTTCGGACGGAGGGAGTATGTTTTACTCTTAGTCTTGTTAATTTCTTGTAATAATAATAATAATATATTATTATTATTATTATTTTTAATAATATCTTGAAAAAGATTATATTATTAGTATTTTCATTACAATATTATCATGACAATGTGGCCCATTTTGGGAGAAAGAGAAATAAAATACAAACGGAATTCTTGAGTAATATGGAGTATAATTTAAATTCATTGATCTAATTGCAATTCTAATGAAATTTAAGTGTTGTTTCAGCACTCCGTACTGTTCTAAATAAACTTTTTTCTTCTCATTTCTAAATAAACTTATTCTTTTTAAACCTTTCTTATTTTCCAAAATATTTTACAACACTTTTTACATTCCACTAATCTTTCTCTTACAATGAATCAAGTCAACCATACTAAAAATTCAAACTTGTGATTGTAAGCCCAAAATAGGTCTTATATTCTAGCACGTCTCTTCATATGTTGCATAATTTGTTGCTCGAGTCTTGCATGTGAAAATTAATTTTTTTCAAAAGGGGTAGCAGTGACAATTAAATTCATGGTCAATGGTCATCAAGACTCTGATATCATGTCAATAAACCAACTTAACTTAAAGTTTAAACTTGTGTTCATAGGCCTAGGTTAGGTTTTATATTCTAAAATTCTCATTTCCTAAAATAGTGTTTTAAAAATAAATACCATCTATGTTAAAAAATCTGTTAATATCCGTCTCCAAATAAAATTGACCCCAGAGGAGTAAAAAAATGAGAAATTTACATAAATAGCACTAAAACATAAAGACTTTCTCTAAATGGCTTCACATGTATTTTTCCAATGTAGTACTTTTAGTCATTATCCATTAGTCATTATTCAAGTAAATGTTCGCCATCACTATACATTATGGACATTATTAAATGTTATTTAGGAAATAAAAAAGTTTAAGTGCTATTTTGGAAAACAACTTAAATTTTAGTGCTATTTAGTACAAATATTTCAAAAATAATATGCATTTAATTGTACTCGTAATTATTTTTAATTTAATCCAAAAATTAGTCTCTATAGAAACTAAATGCATAGTTCAAAAGATTAGAAATAATATGAAGTATTATCATACTCCGTAACATTTTAAAATTAGAAGTAAGATAATGAAATCTTATCATTATCACTCCATCGTCTATCCGTGTCAAATGGATGACCAGATTTTAAATGCAATGACCATTTTAAAAAGCAAAAGGGTAAAACCGTCTACTTTCATTAAAGGTGGAGCGCCAATAAGAAAGTTGGAGCGCTAATATCTGTTGGAAATATTTGATAAATTGGACAATTTTGGACATAAATTTGGTGGAGTTCACAAAATTATTTTTCGAAATAATTATGGACGTTTAATCTCGTAAGTAAGACGAATGTCTCGACATATGACACGCCATGAACGGTGCTCGGGTGAATGAGAAATTAATTCTCAAAGTTGAATACTAAGGTAGAGTAAATGCCTTTGTCCCACACCGGTTTCTAAACCTTTCGTATTCTCATATTTAAGTTTTGGCATTGAATTGAGCTTATGAAAGGAACAAGAAAAGGACTCCTCGCGCACCGCCGCCAATGCCGTTCGGCTCGACACGTCATGCGCACGCGCGTCGGGTTGTCACGCGCACAGAGTTGACAAAATTCAATTTTATGGAATTGAATCCATGGAATTTCAATTCCGATTTCATCAATTCTGCATACCAAACGGACCTTTAGTTATTATGTGAATTCAATTCTATGGAATTGAATCCCATGGAATTTCAATTCCAATTCAATTCCAATTCCATCAATTCTGCATACCAAACGGACCTTTAGTTATTATGTGAAATTTGCACTAAATAGTATTAAAATATAATTTTTTTCTCAACGTAGTACTACAAACTTTTTTATTCTGTAAATAGTACTTGAATAATGTTTAGTGGAGACAACAATGTCCAGTAATATTTATACGTTTTGATCGTCTATTTGATAAAATATAATAACATTGTCACCACTTGTTATAGAATATTTGATGTAATTATTTAGTACATGCTCGGTAATTTTTTTTAAATTCTACACTAATTTTTACTTATATCAATTTGAAAAGATAAATTTAGTCAAACATTGTAAACCAAACAGAAGTCTTATTTTCAGACGGGGAGATTACTGTCTCGAGTCAAAATAATTTTTAATAATGTTGATTTTAAATATGAATATGACGTTTGAGTGCTTCTACTAATTTACTATGAACCTAAAATGCATATAACAACAATGAAGCTTTTTCTTTATTTATTTTAATTACTTCAAAAGTAATTTGAGATGAAATTGATGAGTAAATTATATACAGCTAGTGTAATTACATTCCCAAAATGTGAAAGCTATGAAGAAAAATCAAAAGTTTGAAACGGGAGGGCTCCTGCCTCCTTATTACAAGAACACTGCCATAAATTGTCAAAAGAAAAAAAGCCGCGTGAAGAATTCAAAAAGGGATAAAACCATAAAAGATTCCAATTTCCATATTGTGAGAAATATTGAAAAATAAAATACTCGCCCTGTCCCTGAGTATTTGTCTACTTTTGACTTTTTTTGGTCAAAAATGATAAACTTTGACTTCAAATTAAATAAAAATGATATTAGATATTGATACAAAAATAGTTTTATTTGATTTATTATATCAAATATTTTCAAAATATTATTTTATTTAATTAAAATATAATGTATTTTTTATTTAAATATGGGTCAAAGGTTGAAAACAGTTAACCGAAAAAAGTCAAAACTGGACAAATACTCAGGGACAAAGCCACGGAGGTAGTATATTGTATTTCATAGATACTTTTGGTAACTTTGTATTATATATTTGGTTGGAGACATTAATGAAAATCAAGTCATTGAGTCCTACAATTCTTTAAAATGTGTATGATGAAAAGTATAAGACATGTGATACTTGTCACTATGAGCTACTTGGTCAAGATTGGACAACTCGAAACTCATCGAGCGCGAACTCAGTTGCAATGGACTAGACTCATGACAGATTATAAGATTCGATTTGTAAAATCTCTAGTTTCTAAGTCAAGAGACTCGTGTTGATAATAACTATCTGGATTTCTGATCAAACACGAGTGAATATTAATAATATGAAATCAGATATTCCAATGCTCACTATATTTCATAAGAATGCAATTGGAAAGTGAAGTTGGGTTCATACAACTTTTGATAATGTATTTCTTCAATTCCGAACAAAGTGATTCTTACCGAAGAGTACATAATATTACCCAAATGTTTAACCCGACAAATTGAAGGCAAGTGCGGCACACCTTCACTTTTCACACCAAATTGCTTAGTACGTGAAATACTACATCTCTTCATTTTTTAAATGCACTTACGCTTGTGGGCATAGCGTGACTCGCAAGTGTGATGTATTACTAGAAATTATATCCGAGATCGATCCTTAGCAGGGACAATGAAGGACAATCATGCTAAGTACGAGACTCTTGCACCTACTAAAGGTGAATCCTTACCTCTTACTCCGCAGATCAAGATGATAAATCAAATTACTTCATCTCGTAAATCAATTTAATCGATTCTAAAGAATATTCAAAGATGAAATTTAAACTACGTTCCACTCACCTGATCTGATCTTTCAAGATCTATGTCTAATTTGATTGTAGTCATATTTAAAATTATTTTTGATTTGATTTGATCAAATTTAATAAAAATAAATAATAAATTAAAAAAAACTTTAATTGAACGGAAAAACAAACTTACCCCTTTTTTAAATGCACCTGCGGTTGCAAGAAGACCAAGAGACCCTTTTTATTTACTCGATCGGAGTACGAGTATTTATTGCTCCGTATTTTTATTTAAATGATACGTTGCGGTTCGTAGCGGGAACGCAATACTGTCTTCACCTGCTGCTCTCTTCTCCCTCTCTTTCTCTCTCTAGGGCATATTTTTCTCTCTCTCTCTACATTCATTTTTTTTGATATTCTGTCTCCTTTGCCGTTGTAGTCACGCTTCGTCGCTCAGATCTGACTTCATCCATCCCAGGCTCCCTTCCGGCGCCGGTTTCGTCACCGGAGGTATGAATTTCATCTCTTCGCCGCTCTCCGTTCATCTATTTACTTGACTATCGGTTCATTTCGAAGTATTTCTGCTCTTTCTCATTCAAAATTTATGAAGTTTCTTCAATATGTTAGTTTTTTTGGATCGATTTGATACTGATTTTTAATATTTTTTTTTAAATCTCGTGTTGAAATGACAAATGATGTTTGTGAGACTTCACTCTTACTTGGGGAATGCGTGAGATATACGTTCTGTAATCACGCGCAACCGGAAGTGCTTTTGGTTACAAATCACGCCCTAAATGTGTTTCTCCTTTTTGGTTTTAGACTGCCGTACTGATTTTCTATGCTGCCTGAGAATTTCTCATGTTGAAATTCACGAGTATTATGTAGTGCGTATGTGCGTGTTGATGTTGGGTTTAAATGCATGTAGTTTTGAATTTACAGTCATCAGCAGGATCTGTTCAATCAAGGTAACTTCTATGGAGGTTATGGATGATTTTATTAATTCTCTGTAACTGCTGTTTGTAGTTATTTTTTTATGATTCAATGGTGTCTCACATATGACTATATGGAGGGTAATATAAATGAAATGATTGCTTGGTAGTGTTCTGCTAGTAGAAACTGAGTGTTCCTAAAATTTTCAAGTTATGAGTCATTGCACTTTCTTAGAAGAAGTTACTAAGTGATAACATAATGATCGTGTTGCAAAAAACAATCAAATTTTCTGAGTGAGTTTATGTATATATTCCTAGCCCTTTGACAGACAGCACAACACAATTATTTATTTATTTATGTATTGCTGAGGATGTCGGTTCAGTGTTTTGCTACATACACATGGTTTTTTGAATCATGAATGTAGAACTGACCTTTTGCCAATCCGTGTACTTTGTGTTTTTCTAGTTTAGTTATTTCGTTTTTTTTGTTTGCATAGATCCAAGTTTTACTCAGGAATTCTACATTCTAGACATTTGTCTCCTCCGTTTTCTGACATGTCTCTATGCTTATGATTATTTAATTGCTTTGATGCCCAGATTGCGACTATGGCTCCAACTATTGAAACACCTGAGAAAGAACTCAACCATAACCAGATCTCTCGTCCGCCTCTTAATGAAAGGATACTGTCATCCATGACACGTAAATCAGTTGCTGCCCATCCTTGGCATGATCTCGAGATAGGTATTTGACAACATTCAGCCTATTTGTACAGTTCTTATGCACTAGTTGATGCTGTCACCCTGTGCACTTTTTAAATTACATGATCTATATTCTATGTTGTGTGATGCAGGACCTGGAGCTCCGAAGATTTTCAATGCGGTAAGCCTTCACTTTCCTCCTAGCCTTCAGCTTACTTACATTTAAAATTTTCCATCCGAGTTTTCAAATGGTTCAAACCTTTTTATTTGAAGGGTCCTGTTAATTGGGACACAGATATTATACTATGTGGAAAATATGAGTATAACATTATATGTACGAAGAAATACACTGATCTTATTTGAAGTTTTAAGAGCAGTGCTTACATGTTGTTAGAATTTTAAAAAAGAAGAAATTACTCATATAATCCTATGCTCCAACTCAGTAACCTTTTTTTGAAATGCAGATATTGCCAACTTATGCCTTTTATTTTTAGTGAGCTACATTGTCTGTGTGACATTTGCAAAATACTAGCCTGACTTGAATGTTCAAGTATGCATGGAACTTAACTGTTTGCATAGGCTTGGTTGAATAAATTTAGGTGTTGTGAATAACACAAAATTAAATTCGTTGATATCTTATCATATTGACATTTTTCTTGTGCCCAAGGATTACATGTTATTCTTCCATGATGTGTGCAGGTAATTGAGATCAGCAAGGGCAGTAAGGTGAAGTATGAACTCGATAAGAAGACTGGACTTATCAAGGTATAAGGCCTTATCTATTTTTATTGAGAAATAACTTCGAATTTATTTATAGAACAACAAATGACATCATTTTCAAACATACATATTAAACAAATTGCAATCTATAATTGATAAGGGAGGGTAACATATTTATTAAATAATATCAGGAAAGTGACACTTTTAGTATTGAGTTTTGTCATGGGCTCACTTTTGAAACATTGTGCATGCGTAAGCAGCCCAATAGATCTTTTTATGCTATTAAAAAACTTGTCTCTAGTTTGGTGGCAACATGGGAACTTTAGTGGTTCATAATGCATTGGGTTCAGGCTTCATCCTCAATAAGTTTTTTAACTAAACAACATCACAAAAGAACTGGAGAGGATAACCTTACATGTGTTGAATATTTAGCAAGCCTATTGTAACGGATTACTCATATGCAGGTTGACCGAGTGCTTTACTCATCTGTTGTCTACCCTCATAACTATGGTTTCATCCCACGCACTATTTGTGAGGACAGTGACCCTATGGATGTTTTAGTTATCATGCAGGTATGTATTTCTCTTCCAGATATTTTCTTCAAAGTGGAATAAAGTAATAGATCAAGCAGGCTTAGCATTAAGAGCTTCCAAGTATTTTTTTCACAAAATGCTGGCATCACTTTATGGTGTTTTTCTCCCAATTCGGTTGCATATGTTTGTGTACCCTACACTAGATGTGTAAGACTGCTGGTCGAATAATCCTTATTAAGAAAAGGTGAAGTTGGGGTAGCTTAGTCTTTTACAGTTTCAACTGAATTCGTCAAACTAGCAGTTAAGCTAGGAAGGCTATCATATTAAATTATGTTGCATAATTTGGTTTCTTTGAAGTTGCTGAATGTAGTTTGTGATTACTAGGAGCCTATCCTTCCAGGGTGCTTTCTACGTGCAAAAGCAATTGGTCTTATGCCTATGATTGATCAGGTAAATGCTCTGTGATTTAATCAATAAATCAATACACAAACTCAAACTGGTTTCTAACATTAGTTAGAATTCAGGGAGAAAAAGATGACAAGATAATTGCAGTCTGTGCTGATGACCCAGAGTACCGACACTACACAGATATCAAGGAGCTCCCACCACACCGTTTGGCTGAGATCCGTCGCTTCTTTGAGGACTGTATCCTTGTGTTAAAATCATAAACTTAAGGGTTTTGGGATTCTCATGGGGAGGGAAGGATTGGTTTTTGTTAAACTAATGTGAATCTGTTTCTTGGTCTTAAGGTAGAAAATAACTACTCCATATATTCTTAACCAATCCATGTATTCCAAGTAGTTTCTCATCTTCAATCTCTGCCTAACCATCTAAATGCAAGAGCTAATTAAAGAATTATGTCAAGTCTCACTGAAGTCTCCTAGCCAAATATGGCATTAGGAGGGGACATGAATATATGTTTACATGTATTCCGGTTTTACTACCAGATACTCATATGTAGTGGGAAGCATTGAACTGCTGGGTCCTTAACTACAACTTAGATAAAAAGAACGAGAACAAGGAAGTTGCTGTTAATGACTTTCTACCTGCTTCTGATGCTTATGAAGCCATCAATCATTCCATGTAAGTTATTGAACCTTTTTTTTCCCAATATTTCCATTTCTATTATCATTTCTACTCAGTTGTTTCAAATAAACAAATAAAGCAATATATAACGTTACAAACTCGGCCTTATATCAAATAAAACTTGGGAAAAATGATGTCAAATCCTATAAATTTTTGTCACCCTTTCATAGATACTTTGATTCAAGTTTGATCGATTAATTCCATTACCCCAGTGTTTCTTTTGAACGTACACCCTTTCTCCTCGCTACGAACATTACTATACCATTTGTTATTTATTATTCAGATGAAAGTTTCAATTGACGTGTGATAAGTTTTAATTCAGGAACCTGTATGCGGAGTATGTCGTGGAAAACTTGAGGAGATAATCGGTTGGTTTTTATTGGAAATCCGAGATCGGCGGATGGATATTCACTCCATACAGATAAAAATCCTCTTATACTATAAGTTCCTCGTGTTTTACTATGTGCATATAACTCGGCCAGCATATGATGACGACAAAGGCACAGCGAGACTGAAGTGCCAGACTGGTTCAGCACTTCACAAGCTCTAATTCTCTGTGCCAAACTTATATGACTCCCGTTTGGTACTTTCGTTTATTTTTATTTTTGTATCCTTTTGGCTTTTGTGCAATGCAAACTCGTAACAATGCTTTGAACACTCGTTGGTATTTGTTTTTGTTCAATCACGTGTTTAGCAAGCAGTTTCTCGTATCGTGCTCCAACTTGAACTGTTTTTTAAATGAACTAAAGTTTGTGGTGCGTTTGGGAACATGGATTTGGATTTCAAATATGGATTTGGCTCAAATTTCATGATTGGAAAACTTGAAAATTTTAGATTTGGATTTGAGTCAAATTTTTCTCGTTCATTAAAAAAACTTAATTTGAAATTCATACTCTCTTTCTTGTTATATGAAATTCTAGATTTTAAATTTTGGAATTAAAATGCATAAATTGAAATGAAATGTTAGTTTCCTTAGACTATTTTCTTGAGCTATTCTAATACTCCCAATGATATTTGTTTTTTAAATTTCTTTTACTTCTTTCGTCCATAAATAATCTTTTTACTTTCATTTTCAATCTATCCACAAATAATCTTCTTATTTCCTTATTTGGCAATTTTTTATAGTAAATGTCTCATTTACCCTCAACAAAATCTTAACAACCCAACCTTATCTTTTCTTCCACCACCACATCTCTCTCTATAACCTTCTCCCAATAATTCTCTTTCCTCTCCACTAGATCTACCATTGTTCTTTCTTTTGGTTCTCATAATCTGATGCCAATGCCCACATGACTAAAGTACCCTTCAAGTCAAGTGAATATAAATCCAGTGCCACCTGTGATTTGCTAATAGACGCCAGAGTTTCCTCTCTTTTTTGTTTATTGTTTCTTTTCTCTTCTCTTTTTCATCAATGTTTTAATCTATTTTTAAAATTCTTTTTGTAATGTTTTAAAAAATAAAAATTGTTTTTATTTCAAAAAATGAAATAAACAATTAGCAAATACTTTATTTTTCTCAAATTTAATACTTTCAACTTTGTTCAAAAATAATCTCTCCTTTCTAATCTGTTGGACGAAGAGAGAAAAAAGATTTTTTTTGGATCGATGTCCAACATATTTTCTTCATCACTTCATTTTCTCTTTTCTATTGAAGTATATTTTATATGTCTTTTCTTTTTATTCATTTCTTTTTATAGTTTTTCTTTTATTTAAATTTTGATTAAAATAAAGAAAATATTACAAAAATGTTTTAAAAAAGAAATGAAAAAACATATGACAAGTACGAAAAAATAAGGAGAAACAAGAGAAACAACAACCCAATTGGGTTCTACGAGAGTAAGGTGTGTGGAGGGTGTACACTGATCTTGCCTCCAAAAGTAGAGATGTTGTTTCAATGAGACCCCAAGCCCCAGCAGCATAAAACAAGAACACATATACACCAGAATAAAACATCACGCACACATAATTAAAACTAAATTGAATTGAATAAAATCGCGAAACAAGAGTATTGCTAGAAAAGTAGCAAAAAACATGAAGCATAAAAGGTCTACAAAGCACGCAATAACACCCCTTAGTTTAAAGCACCTACCCAGTTATTTTAATTTTATTTCTCAATTTTTTTTCTAAAGTCATATTCTCAATAAGGGTAAGAAGTTCTATGTCATGAGTCACATGACTAATCACAAAAAAGAACTGAAAATGTGAAATGACTTCAATGCAAATGGAAAATTAAAAATAAGCAATTCAATAAAAGAAAAAAAGAATACAAAAAGGAAACAAAAAGAAGAAAATAGGGACTTGTTTTTGGAGAAAAACTAAAAATGCTTAATTTGAGCGGAAAAAGACTAAAGTAAGAGTAAAACATTTAAAAAAATACCAAAATAAGAGTTTAATGTTTTCATTTCTGAAATAGAAGTTAAAATACATTTATATTATCAATCATGATCATGTACATTACTTAAAAATTACATGTACATTGTCACATTACCACAATACAAACTTCTATTTAGAGAATAAAAACATGAAACTCATATTTTGATACTTTCTTTATGTTTTAGTTATACTTAAGGTGATTTCTTTGATTTGAGACAAATAAACTACACGTTAATTCTTTTTATTTGATTGATTTTTTATTTCAAATCTAACAATGTCGATTCTTTTAAGGGAGAAAGACCAAACTAGGACTAAAACATTAAAAATATAACAAAATAGGACTTTCATGTTTTTATTCCCGAAATAGGACTTACATTACCAAACATGGTCATATACATTACCAAAAAAGTATAGTAATTTGCACATGTACACTGCCACATTACCACAATGCAAACAGTGCAAAGTCCTATTCCGGGAAAAAAAACATGAAAGTCCTATTTTGGTACTTTTCTCTATGTTTTAGTCCTATTTAGGATGATTTCTATTCTTTTAAACATTATAAAAAATAGTTTTAAAAAAGGAAATTTATTTAAATAATTCTAAAACATGGTGAATTTCCCAATGTAATATCACTAATCATTGTTCAAGTAAATGTCCATCGACATTGGACATAGTTCAAACTAAATGTCCATCATCCCTGAACATTGTTCAACACACTAGATATTATTTAAGTACTATTTAGTGAATAAAAAAGTTTAAGTATTACGTTGGAAAATGAGGTACTCCCTCTGTCCACAAATATACTTCCCGTTGCGCGTTGCGATGGGTTTGACTGAAATTATTTTCAAATCATCTTATATGAAATATGGTGTAAAATTTAACAATAAAAATTACATATTAAAAACCTATATCAAAAGATCTACAAAACTAGATGTGACATGACCATATTATTTTATCAAATGGGTGACGAAAGTATGCCAACAAAATGAATAAAATTTAACCCCGTAAATAGTAAATGAGAAGTTTATTTGTGAACGAGGGAGTATGTTTTAGTAATATCAGGGGCAGATTTTAACTTAAAATTTTATTTTTTTAAAGAGTTATGTAATTAAGGACCCCAACTAAAAGTATTAGGAACTCTAATTTAAAGTAACAATAGAGACACCAATTCTTATATTAAAGGAATAGCTTTTTAAATAAAATATTTAAAATTGATAAAAATAAAATATAAAGTGAAAGTGTGAGACATAAAATATACCGAGTAACAATCAAACTAAGTTATAATATAGACTATGTAGTCCATAAATTTAATGTGTTGTTTTTAAAACATTTTTATTTACTATTTAAATATTACATCCATCCTAGAATTGTAATTACAGTTAGACATCTAGAATACTTTTGTTTGATAAAATAAAACATAATTCTCACATTTTGTTTTTTAAATTTGAAGAAATATTTAATGTGTACTTTATACTCTTTATTTATGTATCAATTTATATACAAAATAATTTTAAAAGAGATTAGATTTTACCCATTTTTTATTGTGAGACTATAGTTTTGAAATACGGAGAGTAATTTTTTGAGATTAAATTTATTATCTTTTCAAGTCAAATTGTATGTATCAAAGTTCCTAGTACATAACTTTCGGATCATTGCAAATTTCACCGTGGCATGTCTTTCTACCATTGAGTGTGTGAGAGAATGAGTTTGCACTGCAAAATTCCACAAATTCAGTTGTGCAACTTAAACATCGTATCCTAATTTGATTTCATTTTCGTTTGTCGAGTGGTATGCACTAAAGTTCCCTCAACTGCTCAAAAAACAAATGTTGTGAATATTTTGTGAATACAACATGGATTTGAGTTGGAATGTCGGCTCCTTCTTCCTTAATTTCTGTCTCCCCTCTCTCTCTCTCTCTCTCTATATATATATATATATATATATATATATATATATATATATATAAAGAAGAACTCCCCATTATTCATTTATTCACGCAAAAATTGAAAAAACTCACCTTTCATTCTCTTACTTGTTCCCCAAGCTATACATATATGCCTTCTTCGACTTCCAAATCCCCTGTTTCTCTGTCCCCTCTTCTCATGGCTCTGTTTCTTGATCTTCTTCTTCTGCTGTCACTCTGCTTCTCACCATCATCATCGGACGCCCGAATCCTCCGACCAGCCGCCGCCCCCACTTGCATATTCCGCACCCTTTTCCGGTTCGGAGAGGGGAAAACATCGCTCCTCCACGGCCTGGATCTGCCACGCGGCCATGTGTCCTCCTCCGCCGCCGCCGGCCTCCCCTCCCCTGTTTTCAAGAATGCTCTGTTCGGCTCCGATTCCAGCTTCGCCGCCCCCGGAGCCGTCGTTATGAGCCAGGGTTTCTTTGTGAAGAACGGAATTTCAGTTCAGGCCCGGGATATCGCCGGGAATTCACTGGGATCCCAGATCGATCGCTTCCTGGACCTTGTTTCCCGGTCGCCGGAGAGGCTCCGGGGGACTCTGTTCTTCGTGAACGAGCCGGGGGAGAACGACTACAAATTGGCTTTCAAGA